TTTTCATTTGCTTATTGACCAATTGCAGCATATATCTTCTTTGGAGAAATATCTGGCTCAAATCCTTTTTGCTCACCTTTTAATTGAGTTGGTTTTTATGTATTTGCCATAATGTTCATTATATATTCTGGATATAAGTCAACTAATGAATTTGCAAATATTTTCTCCCATTCTGAATTGTCTTGCCTTTCTTGGTGGTATATACAGAATGTTTCTAATTTTGGTGATCCATTTGATCTATTTTTTATTTAATTATGGTTTAGTTGTCCTAAGAAATCACTGCCTATGAGTAAGGTTTTCTCCTATTTTGTCTAAGAGTTTTATAGCTTTTGCTGCCCTTATGTAGGTGCTTGGATCCATTTTTAGTTCATTTTATGTAAGTAGCAGGGTAGGCATCCAACCACTTTTTGCATGTGGATATCCAGTTATCAGCTGCCTGGTTGATGACTTCTCACTCTATTAGCAAGCATCTTTTCATGTGCATTTGACCAATTGTTTATCTTCCTTGAAATATCTACTTAAATCTTTGCCCACTTTTTGGGTTACGTTTTTAAAGTTGTAGATTTGTTGTATTTCTTACTGATAATATTACAGGTGCTATTAGATTCTGAGGAATAGAAGTAAATGGGTCATGTATACCTGTGCCTCTGAGGCTCACGGGTGGGAGTGGAGATCTATAAATAGAAAACAACCAGGGTGAGGAAATAATGTGTGCGATGCCTGGCCTTACTTATTACCTGGCCCCGGAATTAATGCATACTTAAAAGGTAGCTTCAATAATAATAACAGCTATCATTGTTATTATAAATGCCAATACAGAGATGTGTGCAAAGTGCTGTGGCAGGAGGGAGTGACACGTTTGTCTCAAGATTGGCTTCACACTTGAGACCGGCACCTCTGGGGCCCAGAGAGAGTAGGGAAGTGCAGCATGGGGCTCTAAAAGGAGCCAACCTTTCATGAGTGTGTGTGTGTATGTGTCATGAAACGCTGGTTTTCTTGTCTCTGCTGAGTGTCAGCCTCAGACCAAGGATTGTGATTGCTTGAATTTCACATCCTGGTCTACATAAGAAAATGGCTTCCCTTCATTTGTTTGTGAAGATCTTGACAGGCTTTGGAGGAAGCTCATGAGGCCGAGGAGTAAATAATAAAATGTTTCTAAAATATTACCTAGGCATTATCTTAAAATATGATATAGTGAAGCCAGAGAATCTCTCTGTTCCTTGAGGATGCTTGCCAGTGTGTCCTCAAACCTGAACTTTCAGAGTATACAGCAATAGCGGTTTCATGTGGAAGTCACTATGGTCCTCTGCAAGGCTATAAACTGTTCATTAATTTCATCATATGAACAAATTATCTTAGTGGTAGAAGGAGTATGGCTGTATATATTCCAAGGGGGTTCCCATTACCAAAAAAAAAAATCCAATTATGAGGAAACAATTTTTTAGAAATCACTTTTCCAAGGCTTTTCACTTTATACTAGTCATTGTTTTGTCTGTCTGCTGTATTGCTTAGAAAGTGAGGAAATCAGTGCCGCATATAAGTTATAAGAAAATGTGTTAGAAATGAAAAACTTTAAATTGAGCACATTCTAACAATTAATATAATCTATTTTGCTTCAAAATGCTGACCCAACTGGTAGGATGTAGTTGTTTAGGAAGGATAATTGCAAACCCTAATGATTCAAGTTAAATTTTTCTTTAAACATACACATTACTATTTTATCAAAAATAAGGCTTTCTTTGGTATCGTTTTAATATCACCTATTGTATAAATTATGAGTTTTTATTCAGTGCTACATTTCATCAGGCTGATTGGCTGTCCCGATATGGAGGGAACCTTATTTAAATGTCGATCCGCTGTTCTAAAGTAGTTCATGATGTGAGAGAAGCTGTCTAGTGTAGGACACATACATTATAGTTACAGGAAGTAGCAGATTGTGATAATCTGAAATAGAGTTGGTTCAATTCAGAGCAGGGTCAGATCTGGGGGAGCTTTCTTGGAGAGCTGGTACCTGGGCTAAAGCTCAAAGTTGGTGGTAGGAGAGATGGCGGCAATGGGAAGAGAAATCGGGGAAGTGGTAGTAACCTGGTACGCATGGGTAAGAATGATTGAAGTGTATGGCTTTTAGTTAAGACAGGAAGAGCCACATTGCGGAATCTTGATGATATTATACCAAACTAATGAGCCTGGACTTGATTCTGCTGCATCAGTTGGGAGCCATAGGCGGTTTGAGGCGCAACATAATTAGATCAGTACAGAAGTAGGCTGGAAGGTTAGGTTGAAGGCAGGGAAGAAATTGAGACCATTCTTGGGTAATCACAGATACCATCTTCCAATTTCGTTTAGTTTAAAACTCAAGTGCTTATCTTATGATTTCAGATATTTGATACGAAAGTTTATTCGTTTTAATGGTTAATTATGCCTCATGGGAACTGGTGACTCCTCTTGACTGATTTTTTTTTTTTTTTTTTTTTTTGAGACGGAGTCTTGCTCTGTCGCCCGGGCTTTGGAGTGCAGTGGCCGGATCTCAGCTCACTGCAAGCTCCGCCTCCCGGATTCTACGCCGCCTCTCCTGCCTCAGCCTCCAGTAGCTGGGACTACAGGCGACACCGCCACCTCGCCAGCTAGTTTTTGTATTTTAGCAATGGCCAAGGAAGAGTTTATAAAGAATTTCCATAATAAGCATCGAACTTGCTTTTTATTGTTTTCCATAATAACATCTGGCTGGAAGAGTCAGTACCCAGATTTTCTCCTTAAATGTCTCTAGGCCAAGGAAAAGAACCAGCAGATTTTCATTTTAGAAAAGGACCAGGAGGCCGAGGCAGTTGCTCACGCCTGTAATCCCAGCTTTGGGGGGCCAAGGTGGGCGGATAGCGAGGTCAGGAGATCAAGACCATCCTGGCTAACACGGTGAAACCCCCATCTCTACTAAAAATACAAAAAAATTAGCCGGGCGTGGTGGCAGGCACCTGTAGTCCCAGCTACTCGGGAGGCAGAGGCAGGAGAATGGCATGAACCTGGGAGGTGGAGCTTGCAGTGAGGCGGAAGGAGATGCACACTACACTCCAGCCTGAAGCTGAGATTTCACCTCAAAAAAAAAAAAAAAAAAAAAAGAGAGAGAGAGAAAGGTTGAAATGTGTCTATACAGCAGAAGAAGAAGGAAACAAACCCAGTATGAATCAGGGACTATTAGACTGCTCATTTAAGCCTAGAGGTAGCCTCTTCCTGGTTACCTGGGTTTGCAATCCAGCTCTGCTCTTTAGGCTGTGTAACTTCCAGACATGCTACTTAACCAATATGTGCCTCTGTTCTTATTATCTGTAAAATGTGGAGAATAGCACTTACCTCAGTGGTTGTTATGTTAAATAGATAAATTTAAGTTCTCTGGCACATAGTAAGACCCATCAGTAAATGGAAACTATTATTATTCAGTCATCGAAATTCAATAAAATGAAGTCTGTGAAGTCTCTGCCAGTGACACCTTGTAGTTTATAGTCTTTTACACATGTATTCACTACTAGGTCATTGGGCTCTACAATCACCTTACAGGTACTGATTGTTCAAGCTACCATTGCTACTGACAAATACCCCAAACTTGGAGCCATAAAACAACAACTATTTTGTATTAACCACGGATTCTGTGAGTCAAGGGTCAAAGTACAGCGGGAGATGGCTTACATCTCTGCGCTTCAGTGTCTGGGGCCACAGCTGGAAGCTGCCAAAAGGCACCAGGAGGCTGGCGGGGTGGCTTACGCCTATAATCCCAGCACTTTGGGAGGCCAAGGTGGGAGGATCATGAGGTCAAGAGATCAAGACCATCCTGGCTAACACGGTGAAACCCCATCTCTACTAAAAATACAAAAATTAGCTTGGCGTGGTGGCAGGCACCTGTAGTCCCAGCTACTTGGGAGGCTGAGGAAGAGTGGGGAGAGAGAGAGAGAGAGAGAAGAGAAAGAAAGAGAGAGAGAAAGAAAGAAAGAAAAGAAGAGAAAGAGAAAGAAAAGAAAGGAGGAAGGAAGGAAGGAAGGAAGGAAGGAAGGGAAGGGAAGAAGGAAAGGAAGGAAGGAAGGCAGGCAGGCTGCAAGGAAGAGAAGGCTGCTTGGCTGGGAAGTGAGCGAGACAAGGGCTGGATCAGCTGAGACTGGCAGATCCACTTCCAAAAGCAGCTTCTTCTGCTTGGCTGGGGAGTGAGTGAGACAAGGGGCTGGATCAGCTGAGACTGGCAGATCCACTTCCAAAACGGCTTCTTCACCAAACTGCTGGCACTTAGGTGGGAAGGCTGGAAGGGTGGGCTCAGCTGGGACTGGCACCTAAGCACCTACATGTGGCCTCTCCACTATGGTGGCCTCAGGGTAATAGACTTCTTACAATGTTCTTGCAGCAAAAGCTACATGCCTTTATGACCTAGCCTCAGAAATCTTATAATGGACATTCATTTCCCATTCTCTTTTGGTTGAAGTAGTCACAAGCCCACCCAGATTCAAGGGAAGGGGCTGTAGACCACACCTCTCCGTGGGAGGCATACCATGAAGGCCATGTTTTAAAATCACCACACTGGCGTTATTTCCTGATTCTAGATGAGAGATGGTAATTCGGTGGAGATTAAATGATTTGCCAAGGGATAGTAACTGGGATAGTTAGTGGGGAAGGGGGCTTAGGGGAGGAGAATGACTTTTACCATAATTCTGACTCTAAATTCTTGCTCTTTCAATTCGTATATATTATATCAGCTAACACATACTTGCTAATATGTAAAAGTTCAAAGAAAAAATATCAACTGGTTTTGAGTATATTCAGTAACTTCCCTAAATAGAAACACAAATTTAAAAGACTAAGGTTTGCACTTATAAGCCCTTGCATAAAAACTTCATGTTTTAAGGAGGTCTAGGGATGAGTGCAGTCCTGAGATTGGTCAGATGCAACTTTGTATCATTTTTCTTACAAAGAAAGATCTATGAAGATGTCCCCGATACTTAACTGTGATTTCATTTGTTCTCTAGGAAAATCTCATCTGGCCATTGTCCAGCGGGTGAATAATGAGGGAGAAGGAGATCCTTTCTATGAGGTGATGGGCATTGTCACACTGGAGGATATCATAGAGGAGATCATCAAGTCAGAGATCCTGGATGAAACGGATCTCTACAGTAAGTGCACAGCCTTGGCTGTTCCCAGGGTCATCTTATTTCCCTCCAAGACTCTCAGGTAAGGCCTTGTTTGATTTATAGAAAGGGTATCATGGCAAACTGTGTGCCCTGATGTGTGTCAGCCACTTATGCCAGGTGCTGCTGTGGCAAGATACCCTAGCTGGAATCACTTCTGAGTCACTGGGAACATGCTAGCTAAGTGTTTATCAGGAGGGAGCCTTCAGGAACTGAGCCAAGACTATGAAAAGGAGACCTCCCAGCCTTTGGGTAGAAAAGAGACTACAGGAAACACAGTGTTCCCAGGATGGTGCCCAGAGGCCTCTCTGCCCTTATTTCTGTCCCCTTTGTTCTTGTTTGGTTGCTTCATCCACCTGGATGCAAACCCCAACAGGGGTTCCACTCACACCAGAACAGCAGTGAGCAGTGGGGACGGTCATGAGATTGCCTACTCACAACCTAAGCCAAAAACGGAATATTCCTTCTTACCCACTTCCCTGTCCTCTTATGCCTTTCAGCCCACCACCCTGGGTTTCTGTTCTTTCCCTGCCACTAGAATCCCTGCTCTTGTCTCTGTTTCCTTCTTTCTGGTCTGCTCCCCGTCCTAACTCCCTCACTCAGGAACAATATAGGCTTTTCTATGCAGATGTGAATACTTTGGGTTACTGAACCTTATCAAAACTTTGCTTGCAAACACTACAAAGGCATGCTTTGTCTCTAGGATTGGAATGTTATCTAAGTCGATGGGAGTCCCTAGGCCAGGAATTGTTTCCTCCTCAGAATTTAATCTCATGGAATAGCCATCCTTTCCTTCCTTGCAGATAACTCATTTCAGACTTCGGTCCTTAGTTTGTGAGATGCGGCCTTTCAGAAACTGGCTCCTGGTAGAAAGAGCTTTGATGCCATAAGTCTTCCTCACGTGGAGATCGAGCTTGGAAATGTCCTCTCCCTCCCCGACCTCTGCCTGCCACTCTTGATTTAGAATTCTCAGATGTAGCCTGGGCAACATGGTGAAACCCCATCTCTACAAAAAATGTAACAGTTAGCTAGGTGTGGTGGTGTATGCCTGTAGTCCCAGCTACTTGGAAGACCAAGGTGGGAGGATCCCTTGAGCCTGGGAGGCCCTGGCTGCAGAGAGCTGAGATTGTACCACTGCATTCCAGCATGGGAGCCTGGGAGGACTGTCTCAAAAAAAAAAAAAAAAAAAAAAAAAAAAATCCCGGATGTCTCAGATAAACTAGTGAAGCCATTCACGCTAAGGTGTTAGGTGCTGATAATAGTCTAAATGAGTAAACTCCCAGGGCACTTGTTTGAACAACATTAAGGCTTCAAGCACACACTATTAAAATCTAAGGCATGAAGGGGCGAGCAGAGGAATGATTCCCTAATGATGCCATTTTAAGTAGCAATCTGATGGGGGAGAAGAGGACTATTTAGGCAAACTTATACAAATCAGACAGTTGCTCACTAGTGAGAGTGAGGCTGATAACCTGTGTTTGCTACTCTTTTGCTGAGTGATCCTCTTTCTACAGGAGCAGATTAGGGTAAATCAGCTGCTGGCATGATTCCTTAAGAGCTGTGAAAAGGCCCAGAAGCCAGGGATACTGTCTTTCTTCTTGCATGACCCTGACCTCAGGTGATCTGGACACCTGGGTCTAGGTCTGCCCACTGTGACTTGAGCGAAAGGAGTGTCAAAGCAGGGGCCAGATGACTGCGAAGTCCCAGAGTCAGAGCGGGCCACGGAAGAGCTGCGCCGGCAGGAGGGCACTTTATCCCTTCTAGAAGGAAACCCAAAAGCAAGCCCGAAAAGGAGAGAGGGCACACCAAGGAGCCAGATTCAGGGGCCTTATTTTCCTGCCACAAGGGTTCATTCCCTTTCATTCTCACTGCAGCCACTCAGCTTGCACCGATGTTCCCCCACGGCCCTGTTTCCCTTTAGGCCAAGTTTGGAGAAAACCCAAATCCCTTTCCCTGTTCCCCTTAATGCAGATAAGATGGGCTAGCAGTTTCAAAATTTTACTCAAAACTCAGGGAAAACGAAAGAGAAAGAACCAAAGGAAACATTTCCTGTACCAAAAAGAGAAAGCAAAAAAAAGGGGGGGGGAAGTAGATATATTTAGATAAGCTTTAAAAAGAATGAGAACAAATTAAATTGGAAAAAGCAAATTTTTTCAACCAATAATTACATGCCTGATATATAGGCTCTTGGGAGGTACCAGACCCTGCCTGAGGCCCCCCACCCAGAAAACCCACCTTTAGAGATTATAGGTCCAATCTTATTTCTTCTCCTCTCTTCTTCCCTATATTTCCCCTGATTCCCTCCCAGTGGAGGGACTGGAGTTGAAGCAGGGAAATTGTGAGATAAGAGGTAGTGGCTGCCCTCTTCCCTTGTGTGGCATGCTTCAGGTACCACTCAGAGCATGGTTCAGATAAGCAGCAGGAGACTAGTTGAGGCCAGTTCAGGGGAAAGGAGGGGGACAGAGTCAGAAATTCCCTGGGCCCCTGCAACCCTCTCAATACTAAGAATGCAGGTCCCTTGTGTGTGTATGACTTTGTGTAAAAGCATTCTCACACGTAGCTTCCAGTTGGAGTCTCATAATTAATTGCACAAGATGAGTATGAGAGCTATATTAAATATTACTAGCCTCCTTGTACAGATTAAAATAAAAACTCTGATGCTTAGAGAGGTTGCATGGTGAGTAAGTAGTGGAACCAGCCCCAGAACCCCAGACTTGGGTACCCCAAGCCAGCTTTCCCCTTTTTCTACTATACACCCGCTAAGTGTGGAAAACACTGAAATGATGGCAGTCTCCCATTGTCTATCCCTCACCAACATCCTTCTACTTCCTGGGTGATACTGTGATGTCACCCATAGTTGACACTGCAGAAATGTTCTATCTTTCCCCTGTGATTCTGGGAAAACCTCCAAAGACCAACAGTGATTCTGAGATAGCTGCAATCTGTCCTCTGTGACCCTGCAGCTGATAATCGGAAAAAGCAGAGGGTCCCACACCGGGAGCGGAAGCGGCATGACTTCTCCTTGTTTAAGCTTTCGGACACAGAGATGCGGGTGAAGATCTCACCACAGCTTCTGCTGGCCACACACCACTTCATGGCCACAGGTAGGACAAGTCTCCACTCCGGAGAAGCTAAAACACAATCTCGAGGGTGGGACCCAGGCACCAATCCTTGTTAAAATCTTCCAGCCTGATTCCAGTACGCTGTCAGGACTGAGAAGCACTGTCCTAGGAAGGAGGTTGCCTTAGATAGGGTAATGGATGCCACCTACTGTCGTATTGAGCCCCAGGCCTGATCTTATAGAGGAAGAAATGAGTATAATTCAACTCTTCTACCAGAGAAAAGAGCTAAAGAAACCGTTGCCGCACTTTTCCCTTTTCTACTCACTTCCTGGCTGAAGCCTGAGGCCATCTCCCTGTCTGTTAGACTTACGGTGCCCTAGAGCAATGCCATAGAAGCTATGAATTGTTTAAATACAGAAGTGGATTGTGAATCTTGGGATCTTTAGAAAGAAAAAAAAAGTGAGAAAATCCAAAGATAAACTCCTTCTTGTGAAGAAGGTCAAGTTTGTCTTTGAACCCTCTGACCATCCATGCCTAATTATTGTACTGACCTAGAATGATCATACCTATCATGAAGTTCAATATTTAATTAATCCAGCACGTATTTATTGAGTGTATAATGAGCGCTAGCACTGTTTTAGGTGCTAAAGAGTAGAAAATTTTCAGTTGGAGCTGCTTTAAGATAGAATTTCTAGTTCTGAATACAGATTTCTTTTAACTACTTCCCAGAGCATATGTAATATAAGTAATATAAGTTTAACATATGTAATATAAGTAATAGCTGTAATATATAAATATGATGCAAGGATGCCTCATATTATTGACAACTTATTATTTAAATAATTGCCTGTCTCTAGTAACGTGGGATTTCTTTTCATTCAGCAGATATATGTCATACAAATAAGCCGGATTAAATTATCTGCATTTCATTCAATTATAGCATTAAAGTATTTGCTGTTTATGTGGCTTAGCTATCCATGTCCAATTTTAAATAAAATCAAAGAAAATTAGTAATGAAACAGACATTTCCAGATGGAGACCTGTTTCTCCTGAGGTGCCAGTGCAGGGACACACATCTGCAGAGGACATGGGTAAGGCCCTGAGATGCACACTTGGGATTAGGATTCTCCACTCCAAAGGAACTGCAGAAGCCCTGCCAGCCTGGTGCCCTGGTACATGCATAGGGGGCCCTCATTGTGCCCACTCTGACTCCTCCCAGCTGCCACTGCTGGAATGGGTGGGACACAGCTGATGCTGATTCCTCCCTACCCCCTACTCGCCTCTAGAAGTGGAGCCCTTTAAGTCTCTGTACCTTTCGGAGAAGATCCTGCTCCGGCTCCTGAAACATCCCAACGTGATCCAGGAGCTGAAGTTTGATGAGAAGAACAAGAAGGCCCCGGAACACTACCTCTACCAGCGCAACCGCCCTGTGGACTACTTTGTGCTGCTTCTACAGGTGAGTAGGAAAGTCAGGGAACCTCTAAGGGCCAGATGAGGGCATCTCCAGGGTGAAGAAATGGCCATGCCTCCTTCAGCACCAAGTTCCGGGACTTAGCTGGCTGCCTCAGGAACAAGGCCAGCTGGGTGGACATTTCTTCATGGCCCACAGGAGGGGGCTGGACACAGAAGACTGGTGTCCTGGGAGTGCTGGGATCTTTCACATTTAGTCTGACAACTCAGCAATGTTTGGGGTGGGGTGAATACCTCTCCAATAGGGGTTTTGCTTCTAAACTTCCAGAACTGCTGCTCTGCAGAAAGTATAATACCTCCTCATCTCTGCTTGAACATCCCCTGAAATGAAACTGCCCACTGCCTGCTGAATTTTAGACAACTCTTCTTTAAACCCTTCTCTCTGTTGAGTGGAAATCTCACCATCTCTGACTTCCTTACTGGTCCCTGCCCTGCTCTCTGGAGGTGCACGGGACACATTCATTCTCTCAGCTGCATTTCAGCCTTTGTAGTTCCTGGAATCTTCTCCCCCTTAAGAGGACCAGGAAGGGGAAAAATGACCTGTTCAAAGAAGTGCAACATCTCCCCAGTGCTCACATAAGTATGATCACCTTCTGCTCTGGATACCTGAATAGGCCTGTCTTAAATAAGTGTCTGACATGATTACAGCTTGTAACACTGCTGGTGCCCTGTCTGGCTTCACCATTAGCTCTGTCACTGATTCCCTGTCCCTTCCCAACATAACCTTGTGAATCCTAAATATGCTGATTGTGTTTTAGAATCTTAATTAAGCTCACATGAACTTAGAAATGGTCTCCTTGTTACAGTCCACTTCCAACCTCTCTGCTCTGTCACTGTAATTTGCCTCACATATATCCTTCCAAATGATCTGAACAAAATGACCTCTCTTCTCCAAAAAATGGAGTCATGTGCTTCACTGTTGGAAATCAACAGAAATCCTGTTACATTGTTTGTATAATGTAATGAGCACATAGTTTCATGTCTTATACTGAATATAAACTTAACAGTTTTCAAATAAAACATGGAATAAAATGTAGTAGCAAGAGTGTAGGCTCAGAAATTTGAAAACTATGGCTTTAAAATTCCATTGTTGCCATCTCCCAACTAACCTTGACCAAGTTATTCAATCTCTGAGCCTCAAAATTGAGTCCCCAGTAAATCGGGGATAAAAATGGCATAGGCTTCATGGGGTTGTGGGGCTAATTGCATGAGAATCTATGCAGTGCACATAACACAGTGTCATGTCCATGCATGCTATGCATTACACGTCAGCTATCACTATTATTGGCAATTAATTAAACAAGCTTCACACAGAATTAGGTTTTATCTTTTTTTTTTTTTTTTTTTTTTTTTTTGAGATGGAGTCTTGCTCTGTCTCCCAGGCTGGAGTTCAGTGGCCCGATCTCAGCTCACTGCAAGCTCTGCTGGTTCAAGCAGTTCTCCTGCCTCAGCCTCCCGAGCAGCTAGGACTACAGGCGTGCACCACCACACCCAGCTAATTTTTATATATTTAGTAGAGATGGGGTTTCACCATATTGGCCAGGCTGGTCTCGAACTCCTGACCTTGTGATCCACCCGCCTTGGCCTCCCAAAGTGCTGAGATTAAGGCGTGAGCCACCACACCCGGCCTAGATTTTATCTTGACCTGACTTAGAAATGGTCCAGTCTTGGACTAAACCAGTGGGGCAGTTTATGAGGCCCTGGGTTAGCTGGTACTTAGGCCTGCATCACGGAAGGGCCATTACAGTACGCAACGACAGCTTGGTTATTCATGACTGGCTGCTGTTTTATGAACAACGAAGCACTGAATTTACTGCAAAGAGCTACTTAGGTTGGAAGTGCTTTCTCAAATTTAAATCTGGAGAGAATTAACATTCCTCTGTGATAAGAACACGGGTCTAGTCCACTTGTTATCCAAGCAGAAATGCTTAGGGTTCTAGTCAATAGTAGAACTGGAAGTGCTCATATACATTCATAGTACACTTCCTTTTTTTTTCCCCCAGGGTAAAGTGGAGGTGGAGGTTGGTAAGGAAGGCCTTCGCTTTGAGAATGGAGCCTTTACTTACTATGGCGTCCCAGCCATCATGACCACTGCTTGCTCAGGTATTCTAGTTTCCGTTTGTTTATTGGGAAAGTAATGGGATATGGTAGAAAAAGCAGAGGGGTTCAAGTCTTGACTCCTCCTTTGACTCCTGTTAATCACCCTGGACAAGCCATTTAACTTCCTTGGCTTTAGTTCCTTCCTCTGCAAAATGTGTGTATGAATCACTTTTCATTCAGTTAGTGCTTAAAGAAAGGTGACAAAAATTGAATTGTAAAAAGCAGTAATATTGTCAAGTGTTAGGGATCTAGGGTGGTAGATTTCACTGTGAAAAGATGAGTTTATTTTGCTTTTTATACTGGTTCCCTACCCTTCCATTTAATTGCCTGGTTTTTACAGGGTTAATTGGTGCTGGGGGTGGATAGAAGAGGGAAGATTCCCATAAGAAGTGTGTTTTCTGAGTTGCCTCTGAAACCCACTGCATCCTTCTGTCCTTAGATAATGACGTGCGGAAGGTTGGAAGTCTGGCTGGATCTTCTGTCTTTCGTATGTATCTCTCAAACCCCTTCCTCGTCCTCCCCATCGTAGTCCTGCCTCAGCCCGCTCTGGGGACCTGGACCTGGGCTGGGGCTAAGACAAATGCTGGCAGCCTCTTTGTAATGTTCTGCCAGGAGCACTGCTTCCTGCCAGGTACCCACAGACCATGGGAGCTTAGGTTCTTGTGTTTGGAATGTATTCTGCGGCTTCTCTGCTCACATGGTTGGGGGGAAGCAGGGGTTGGGAGGGGAGGCACTGCTTATTGCCACCTTCCAGGAAATGCAGGCAGGTGATTTGTGTGCTTGGGCAGAGGTTCAGCCCTTCTTTCTGTGCAGTAACAATTCACTCATGGCCTTTACTCAGAAACTCTCATATGCTATTATTGTGTCTGTGGGGTTTGTCCGCAGTAAGAAGTGACTGCAAGATTTGGGGATGTAAGTTCCACCCTTGTGCAATACGCTGCTTATCTGCTTCTCTTTCCTGCTTCTCCACCTCTCAGCTAGTGGAGAGGTATCTGCCAGCTGGCCATGCATGCTGTTGGTAGGGGGCAGGCACAGGATGGCTGGTTTGCTCTGCCCCTTCTGTGCTGTGCCTTCTTGCTGTTTCCTGTGTAGTTATTGCACTTGTGTTTAAAGGGCATGGCATTTCTTCTGATTAAAAGTGTGATCCAGAAAGAATTATTTCTCTACCTTTCTTTCTGTTTCACGAATCTGAATTTTGCTTTCAGCTGTTAGTGTTTACAGTGGCCACTTCAATGCCAAATAGGGTCTTTCCTCGCATCACAAAAAAGATTTTACGTATTCCCTTGTGGTGGGAATTGTCAGAGAGTCCCAGAGCTTGATATCATAGTCCCTGGAACATGACAAGGTAGATACCATTTTAACATGAGTGAAACTAAGGAAATGACTTGCTTCAAATCACCCAGTAAGTTGGTGACCGGCCAAGATGCTTCCTGGTGTCCTGGCTAGTTCACACAGCACAGGAAAATACAGGTTTCAGATCCATCATATTCTGGAATGCAATTTCTAAGTGAAAATAGTGGAACAATTTACAGTGTAATTGTTACAGTGTAATAGCCCAGCCAGTGGCTGAAATGAAGTACCTGTCCAGTCTGAAGAGTGGCAGAACTTTAGTTGGAGGAGATCTGTAAAATTGAAAAGACCCTGGTACATTATTATACTTAAGACAACGAATCTCAATCAAGGTTGATGAAGGAAGCATCGGTGCTCAGTAGAACTCTCAATGGGCGAGGGACGGGTTACAGGACGTTGGCAAACCTTAGTTCTCTAAAGGAAATTTTCATCCTCCATCACATTAGGGACTACTCCTGGGATTCTAATATGTTACCTAGAAATGTCTGTGATCTCTTCCAGAAGACTGAAAGAGGTGGAAATTCTGAGAAAAAAAGGCCTACATATGGCTTCCTAGCCCAATGCTGTGGCCAGGCATGGTGGCTCTCACCTGTAATCCCAGCACTTTGGGAGGCCAAGGCGGGTGGATCACGAGGTCAGGAGTTCGAGACCATCCTGGCCAACACGGTGAAACCCCATCTCTACTAAAAATACAAAAATTAGCCAGGCATGGTGGTGCATGCCTTTGATCCCAGGTACTTGGGAGGCTGAGGCAGGTGAATCGCTTGAACTGGGGAGGTGGAGATTGCAGTGAGCCAAGATCATGCCACCTTACTCCAGCCTGGCTACAGAGCAAGATTCCATCTCAAAAAAAAAAAAAAAAATTGTTTTAAGTAGAAGGAATATGTTATCCGATTTCTTCCTTTCCTTCCTTCCTGTCTCTAGTTCTTTCTTTCAAAAGCTTTCAATGGCATCAGCGAGATAGAAATAAAGTTGCAACATTGATTTCTCCTTTAAAACTAGTTAACTGAAAAGAAGCATAACGCTCTTTCTCTTTCTCTCCCCATGTTACTGAGCATCTCTGTAAATCTTCAGAAGGAAAAAGAAATATTATTAGCCAATAGGGGTAAAAAGACATTTTCCATCCTCCCGGAATCCATATTTAGTGTAGCGAAGTGTGAAGTAACTGCAAAGGCCAGTCATACCCCAGTTATCCCAGGTGAAGGCTCAGCCCATGGTCCAGCCACCCAGCATCTTTCATTGGCCAAGGACCTCAACCCTATAGGTTGAGGGAGAGCTTAAGTCTAAGCCAAAAGGCGATAAAATCTTACAGGGTCTTGGCCCAGCCCCCTCCCCCATGCTTGAAGCTAGCTTGATCAGCCTTTGAGGATGAGGAGTGAGATTATGAGTTTGCTGGAATACTGGCACGATGACCTATGCTTCAAAGTTGAACTTGAGGCTACAAAGAAGTCTCTGGCTTTCCTGTATGAGGCGAAGGGAACATAATCTACACTGTCTCCTTCTTGGTTCTGATTGCCAGGAACCCAGGGTAGCTGGAATAGGTGCACACACAGGTGTGCAGATGTGGAAAGAACAGGTCTCCTTTCTGTTTGGTGTATACATTTATACATCATATAATACATTGTATACAGTGTTTACAGCTTGGTGTATACAATGTATACAATTTGGTGTATACATTTCTACATTTAGAACTATGATTCTTCTTGAGAATAGAGGGTTTCTTAACTCCATTGTGTCTCATAATATTGGAGGCCCATTCTAATATTCGTTAACATCTCATGTCAGAGTAAAGGATTATCAGGTAGGTCATTTCAAATAAAATCATTTGGTTTAGCAAATAAAACTGCAGAAGCTGTCTATTTCCGTATGCTATCATCTGCAGACTGGTTTCATTTAGCTCCTTAAAAAGGACTCTGGGAATGATCAGATAAGAGAGATGAAGACAGGTTCCCATGGGTCCCGTGCCCAGACACCACTTGAAGGGGAGGGACTGGACTGTTACTACACACTCAACTCTACCCAGGCCCCCAAGTGATAGCCAGCACCATTTCCAACTCTGTGGGGAAAGAGAAGGAAAAGGGAACAGAGAGATGCTTTGGAACACTGGTACTTACCACAAAGTGGCTATGATTTAATTCAAGTTGATTCACATTAACACTGCTAGAGATATTGTTCTTCCTTTATCCCTATCCTCTAGCAATGCACAGTTCTTCACCAACACTGTAACCAGAGGGAGCTCCTAGGAGTCAGAGGCAGGATCTAGCTTCCTCAAGGATGCCCCTAGCAGGAGCACACACTTTCCATTCAGGCCTCTGAGTACCCATGCAGGTGCCCTTGGCAGTTGAGCTCCGTGGGAGCTGGGAGAGCTTGGTGGGAATGCAGCGCTGGGCTCCCAGCATGTTTGCTGGCTCAAAATGGGAGCCTCAGAGAATGCTGCCTATATGCTTCCCACAGGGCTCGGCTTGTGCTTCTGCCTCTGATTCCAAGATGTGTTGCACATCTTTTCAGATGACTTTCAGCAAAATCCATTTTATTTTCTTGTCTTTCTGGAGAGTGACTTTGTAAGAGTATGTGATTTCTGTGTTTTCAGAGTCAAGATTCCTTTTTGCAGAGAAGTGTGATGTTGTGAAGATCCAGGAACAGACTGTCTCACCCACTTTGTTCTTTGTCTCTTTCCTTTTGTGTTTATATCTTCCCTTTTGCAACTCACATCCTTGGCCCCTGACTCTTTAGTGCCCGTCTCTGTGTCTCGTACCTTCGCTGTCAGCAGAGGGGACTCTCTGGCAGGCTCCCCAGGTAAACATGCATGGGTGTCTTGGGTCTCCGTAGATCCAGAGGGGTTTGCAAGAAGCCTTTGGCCTCTGTCACTTTCCTGCCTGAGAACTAATCTCTCCAACAGGCACTCTTGTGACTAAGGCATAGCACTTTGCACAAACAGCACTCATTTGCACATACCACCCAGGCATTGCTGGTTCAGTGCTGTCATTTGTGAGCTTACCTCCCAGGAATGTATCTATGTACGCACATGGAAAAATGGTGGGAGTGAGGGATAGTGTGAGTTTTTCCTCATTTGTTTGACTACAGAATGGAGGGATGAGGAGGACAGCATGAATGAAATGGGAATAGTGGAATACTATGCTTTATTTCTACCTATTTTCTTTCTACCTTTCTTTCCTTCCATGTCCTAATCTTCCTAATAATGTTACTGTGTGATCATCATATTCTCACTAGCTCTGCTCATACAAAGGATGCTATATGTAAAACTTTCAAAACAACTTTTCATTAGGTTTAACCTCTTTTGTTAATAAGTGAAATAGTCACTGGGTTTCTTTTTAATCGGTAACAATTCCTCATAGAGCTAGATAATAATTGAATGACTGAGTAGAATGCAACAAATCTGAATGATCAACTGTTTGTTTTCATCTCTAGAGGTTGTTCTCTTGGGCTCATAGAGCAAGTAATGACTAAACCAGGAATGTATTTGTTAAATTGCCCTGCAGTTAGCACACAGTTCCATTTCCTCTACCCTCTAAATCTGTATCCCTTATCCCATTGCTGGGGTAATGCTACTAAGACCCCACCACATCCTCAGTCATCGAGAAATTGCTTATGTTTCTCTGTCTGTATAGTAGATCCTCGACATTTAAAAAAGGCTATGTTCTCCAATTTGCAACCTCAGTAGTATTTGTGTTGACTTCTGTTTTTTCCCAAAATCAAATTTTTTCATCAAAAACCATCTGGTCCTCATGTTGATCTATACAAGATAAGTTAACCACCTTCTCAAATTTCACTGACATTTTCTCTCTCTCTCTTTCGATGGTGATTTTCCATTAAGAAATAGTTTTTCTTGCCTTGTGAGAGCTCATGCCTTAATGATGACTACAGGATTGGACAGTCAATGTGAGATACCAATCTGGTGCCCTCGCCAGCTAAATGGTCTACTCCTACATGCCAGCAAAATTAGAAATGACCACATGATGGACCTTCAAGTTCCTTCACATGCAGTGAATCTTGGTGATGCCAACAGTGTGCTGTGAAGGTTCAGAGGAAAGGGGAGATGCACATTTTAAAAGACTTTCAGCCCAAAAGATCAAAGCGAGGATGCGTTTTCCTTTTTAATTAACCTTCAGATAACCAGATGACCTAGTTAATTGTAACTTCCCAGTTAAAGGAAGGTTAATTCTAGTTCATCTGTATTGATTATGATAAAGTTCATGATAACCCAATGTCAGAGATGAAAGTGATACCTTCCTGCTGTGCAGAACCTCCAGGAAGTGCTGAGACTTCTGATCCAACTCTGGGTGCTGTCACGTGCCCCTGAGAATATTTTCAACTTTCCCCCCTTTTCCATGACTGTGGGTATTCAACACAACAAGAGATTAGTGTCAACACAATGCAAACCCTACTCATAAAGAGGTAAGCTTATTCCCATCCCTGGTTTAACTGTGCAGGGTGGAGCAGTGGTCGGTACAGTGGGAGAAAACCAGAGGTAGGGAGTGCCTAACTTCTCCTTTGGCTTATTCCTCTCCACCTTATGTCTGGTCTCTATCTAGAGCTAATCACTGTGCCTTCCCAGTGATCAGGTGACATCCACAGGACCTATTCTGTGATATTTCCTCTGTCATTCTTGCTTTTGTTCCATATCATTAAAAGAAGTAGCCTCAGAGGTCTGGGATTTTATAAAAAGAAGTTCCAGGTAACTTCTGGCCCTGTAAGCACAGAGACTTTGGAACCAGGGGTTCTTATTCAGTGCTCGACTGTCCATTCATAATGTGCATAGAGATCAACAATGATGCCATTTTCTCCTAGAATATGCCAAAGTACCTAAAAAAATCTTTTTACTTTGCAAAATGTGCTGAGTGGAAATATTGATTTCTGATCCAGATACATTAGTTTACATATATGCTAAATCTCAACCCTATCTTATATGGGGGAAAAATAAATCCTAGAAACCAGTAGGGTCTTTAGGTCTAAAAAAGAACTGTCATTGTCTTATTTGACTCCCCACAATCACTTTGGGAGATAGGCAGGAATTGTCATTGAAAAACAACAGACAAAAAAACAGGCTCTGAGAAAGTCAGTGAGTGTTGTATGTGTAGTAGGTATGTAGAGGGACAAGGACTGGAATCTAAGTCTTAGATCGTGCTCTCCACCTACTGCCTGAGACCTTGCTTTACCTCTGAATATAGACATTTTGTGCCCTCTAGAGGGCTGTGATTTATTTGCATTTTGAAAGCAGTGCTAATAACAAATCTGGTGCTCACACTAGATTGAGGCCAGAGGTCTCTGCACCAAATATTGCCATCATTATCCATGGGGAGTCTCTTTCTATTTGAGCCTTAGTTTGAAGTAAGAGCACAGTGGTTTGCAGATTACCTCCAGGGTGTGGTGTGGTTATGAGCTCCTTTCTCTATTTGAGTTTCCTATCAGCAAGTAAGAGTACGTGGTTTGTGCAGATTACTCAGGGTGTGGGTTAACTAACTTGGCAGGTGTGCCTATTTAAAAATGAAACTTCTGGATCAGGTTTCCCTGAAAGCATATTATAAGACAGCTCACTGCAGTTATCTCCTTTTCCCCAGATTCGCCTCTTCTTCTTCTTCTTCTGGTGGTGGAGATAATTTTGAATTCCCATGACAGTCCTTTTCAAATCCACAAAAGCACAGAGATAGAGACTTTGGAAGGAACCAAGGGTCTGCTAGGGCCTAGAACCATTCATAATGTGTATTCCCAGATCAAATAATACAGTTTCCTCTGTAATTGTTAGGAATCTCTAAAAATAATATTTCTACTTTGCAAAATGTGATAAGTGGAAATAATCCTTCGGGTTGGTGGCTCTTGTGTGATGAGCATTTGGGAACTGTTAGCCCGTAAAGTAAGTGACATCTTGGATCCTCAACTTGGGCTCAGAGTTCATACTGTAGTTTTGACAGAGAGCTGGCTTTGGTGTTTGGTTGTCTGATGCTAAATGTTGCCCTGCAATTTAATTCTGACATTCTAGTTTGTACTCTTACAGGTCTATGTATCAAGCTTCCTTTATCCATTTTGGAGAACAGAGATACTTACATGGCACAATCACAGTCAGACCAAAGTAGGCCATTCCCCCATCTCCCTCATAAATGATGCTACAAAAGATGTAGGCAGGTGCAACCCTGAACCCTCCTTTTCCTAAACTCCCAAGTGGAAAATGGCTTCTGCACTCCCCTCTGCCAACCACAAAGCCGCAGCAGAGCCGGGAGGAGAATGAGGAAGGGTAGAGGTCAAAAGGGAAACCCTGTAACGCCACACTGTCTTCCAGTTGTAATGGTTGAACTAATCACACACTCCTGCCCCACAGTGTAAGAGCTGCCTTACTTCTCCACACTGGGATCGCCCAGAACTAGAAAATCCCATTACTGGGTATATACCCAAAAGATGATCAGTCATTCTACTATAAAGACAAGGGCGTGCAATAACGATGTTACTGCTTCTTAATACCACAATAGTGAAGACTTGGCACCAACGCACTGCATCACTGTAATGATAGACTGGATAAAGAAAATGTGACACATATACACCATATAGAATGCAACCATAAAAAGGATGAGTTCGTGTCCTTTGAGGGATATGATGAAGCTGGAAAACATTCTCAGCAAACAGGAAACAGAAAAACTGTAAACACCACGTATATGCTCTCATAAGGGGAGCTGAACACCAAGTGAACAATACGGACACAGGGAGAGGAACATCACACACCGAGCCCTGTTAGCCGGGATCGACAGGGCCACCCAGCACGTTGATGACGGGTTGATGGGTGCAGCAAACCACCATGGCATGTATACCTATTATTAACCTGCACATTCTGCACATGTACCAGAACTTAAGATAAAAGAACATACCCTTAAAAACCAGACTCAAAACTCCCGGCAAAAACAGACCTCTCGTGCCTGTCGCTTCCTGGGCTCCCTCCTGCCCCGCTCCACACCTGCCCTGGAAAGAGCTGTCCTGGTTCCTTAGGACACTGGCTTGGCGCGGGCACCCACACTGGGAACTCCGGCTTCACATGGCAAGAATGAGCACTGGCCTCACACACGGCGCCTGCTCCTGCCAGACCTGCCTGCCCGCCACCAGTGCGCCCGGCCAAGGCCAGGCAGGTGGCCGGTCACAGCAGCCCTGCCCAGCGTAAGCAAAGTGGTGCTCTCAAAGCCTCTTGGGCTCCGCCATTTGATGCACTCCGCTAATTTTGCGCTTGGCCAGGCGGGCGCCGGTAACCAGCAAGACTGGCCAGCCAAAGTGTAGAGCACTGATGCAAATGTCTTTGTTATCCTTAGTGGTTTCTGTAAATACAATGTAGTAGACGTGCTCTGGGCCGGTGGGGGTGGCGAAGTCCGCAGGCCCCATGCTACAGCCTGGGTGTGGCCGACGCTGGCGTGGCACCTCTCTGGGCAGGACTCCGCAGTAGCATCCAAAGGGCTGCGCGCCCTACTCTGACTCCGCCGTTGGGCCAGGCGGGTGCTGGCTGCTCCTGGGGCGGAGTCGGGTAAGGCAGCGCGGAGGCGGTTATGAGTAGAGCGGGGCGCTGGTCCAGTCTTTAGGTAGAGCGCGGGCGCTGCAGGTGCAGAATGCACACAAATGGGGCCAGGACGCGTGATTGGAGCCGTTGGGTGGCGCCACTGGGCATCGGCAGGAGCATTACGGCGGTAGCAGCCAGACAGGTGGAGAAGTCGGGCGGGTGCTGGAAAGGCCACCAGTATGCTGGGTCCGTACAGCACCTCTGCAAGCAGACAGCCGCTCCTTTCACCACGTGTAAAATGCCCTTTCTACTGCACGCTTTAGTGCAGGGAAGCCAGGTGAGTATGCAACATCTGCACTCCTGGGGTTTGCCACACAGACTCTGAGAACAACGCCTCTCCCCAAAGTCCCTCTCTCTCTCTCTCTCTCTCTCTCCCCTACCTGCCCAGGCTCCCCCCGCAGCCCCCAGCTATTTCTCAGAGGCAGAAGCACGTGGAGCTCGGCCTCTGCATGGTCAAAGGCACAGAGAGAGGCAGGAGGAGGAGGCCGGGCAGGGAGCGGGCAGGAGAGCCTTTGTCAGCATCCGGGTAGAGCACAGTGCAGAGGGGGAACCTGAGGCCTGGCCCGGGAAGAATAAAGAACGTAACAGCTGCCGTGTGGTGGGAGGAGATGGTTTGGTGAAAGAGTCGTGTGGAGAAATAACAACCCGAGCTGGTGGCAAGTTTGTTCCCACCGCTTCTCTGGGAGATTTCCAAGAACAAACTCCCACTTCCAGACAAATGTAACTTTCTTTTAGGCTGTGGGGATACACTCAATTTATGTTTATTTAAGAAGCAGAAACTTCTAGGTGGAGCAATTTGGCCACTTTCAGCCTGCATGGAAGTGTGAAGGGAGCACTGGGGTGCCCTTCCCCCTGCACACACAGTGGGAGAATGTGGGATGTGGTACTGACAGCCAAGGAGAGTTTCAGCAACATATAGGTAATTCATGAGCCCCAAAGAATCCAGCCTAAAGAAATGTGCCCAGGACAGTCACTTAACAAGGCTACTGACTCAGTTAGGGGTCCTGTGTGGAGCATGGAACAAGTCTGATACCCAGTGCCAGGACCAAACAGAGCAACTGTGGCTAATACATTTTCTGTATTTTTAGTAGAGATAGTTTTTTTGACTAGTCATTCGAAACTCCCCGACCTCAACATCCAACCCCCAGTCTTCCGCCGTGCTGGGATTACAGGCATGAGCCACGAGAGGCTGGCGGAAGAGAGAAGCCAGCAATTTGCCACTTGCTGAATTGAGCCAGCTTATGCAAGCTGAGCTGCAACACTGGCAATGCAGATTGTGAACACAGATCACAAAAAGCATGTATAAATACTACTGGGCTCCAGAGATCAAAAACACTCAAGAATTAGCTGTACAATAGCTGCTGTTGTTTTTAAAAATAAAAGCCTGAAATCAGTATGTAAAATCTTTAAAAATGTATTGGCCGGGAAATGGCCTCGCCTGTAATCGAGCACTGGGAGGCTAAGATAAAAGGATCACCCGAGGTCAGAGCTTGAGAGCAGCCTGCACAATAAACCCTGATCTCTACTAAAAATAAAAACAGCTAGTGGTGACACGCGCTCGCTTGTATCCCAAAAGTTTCTCACAAATTCTGGAGGCTGAGGCAGAAGAACTACTTGAACCCGGGAGGAAGAGGTTGCAGTAACAAATCACGCTTCTTGCACTCCAGCCTGGGCAATGTGAGACTCCATCTTGGGGAAAGCAACATCTACCATGTACAGAACAATCTTGTTATTGACTATATTTCAAAAATTAGCCTGTGTACACTATGCGTATTGGCAAATGAGTATATAACAGCTTTTAGTCTCTTACAGCAAATTCCCTTGTTACACGCGTAAGAAACATCACTGTTAGCGCTGTGGCTCAGTGCTCTTATACTGAGCATTTTGGGAGCCAAGATGGGGTGCACCTGAGGTCAGGAGTTGGAGACCAGCCTGCCGGCTAGCGACCCAAAACTCTTTCTTTACTGAAAACATAAAAGTTAGGCATTATATGGAGCTCAACTCGCGCTTGATGAGGAACACCTGCTGGGACCTGGGGAGGCAGAGGTGGCAGTGAGCTGAGATTCTGCCACTGCACACTGGCCTGGGCAACAAGAGCAAAACTGGGTTTAAAAAAACCAAAAAATCAATTACATCACATCATCACATTGCAAATATGTCATTTTGTTGTCAATAAACAGTTAATATAGCTACTGTAAATTATCAGAAGGCTACAAAAATAAATTTCTTATGTCTTCAAAGTGTTTTTTTGTGCAATGAAGACTTACTGTGTTGAAGAACAGAATGCAGTACTGGAAACCGTCCCGGGTGTGAGATGCTCTTTTGGAGTGACAAAACTAGGCTTTTCTTTTTCTTTTTCTTTTTCTTTTCTTTCATCTTTTTTTTTTGAAACAGGGTCTCACTCTTCTCACCAGGCTGGAGTGCAGTGGCACAACTCGCTCACTGGAACCTCTGTCCCCTGTTTCCAGGTTCAAAGTGATTCTCCTGCCTCGCCTCCTGGTCGCTGGGGACTACAGGTGCCCTGGAAAGCCCGGCTATCTTTGTAGGACACGACAGGGTTTCATCTGCCTCCCGGGTTCACCCATCTTCCCTCAGCCTCCTCCCAGTGAAGGCTGGGACTAAGGTACCCGCCACCACACTCCGGGTTAATTTTTGTACTTTTAGTAGAGATGGGGTTTCACCACAGGATGGTCTTGATTTCTTGACCTCATGATCTCGCCCCGCCTCAGCCGCCCCAACGTGCTGGGATTACAGGTGAGCCACCGTGACCGCCGCGCGGCTCACCGTGTCGCCAGGATTGTCTCAATCTCTTGACCTCAAGCAAGATCCACTCTGCTTGGCC